TAAGTAATTTATTCCATTGAAATATCACTGATGTATTATAGAAAAGTGATTTATCTTTTTATAAATGACAAACAGAGTGTAGCAAACACAGAGAAATAGTCTGACATGCTGTCAGTGATAAGCTGCTAGTCATCACAGTCCATGATATCAACTAATAACAGGAGATGTCAGATTCTGCCCCTACATTGCATGTTATTATTTTATTCTGCTTTATGTTTATATTGTACAGCGTTATAATAAAGTTCATTCCAGACTCAAGTCCATATAAGATACATACAAAAACACAGACAATGCCATAAAAACAACACAACAAGTAGGTTTTTATATTGATCCCATCCAACAAAATGATATTCATTCAGCAAGTCTTTTTTTGGTCCATGTCTAAAAATATATACATTTGACATGTGATTTTGTCAAAACTTGTCATAATTATATTTCTTTTACCAAAATAGTGCAATAAGTTGCAATCCTTACATGAAACTGACCCCGAGTAGAGCAATGCACAATTTTCTCATTAGGTGCGGTTACATGATGGTCTCTCATTCAGAATGAAATAAATCTGAATGAAAACTTTCGGAATTAAAGTCTTTCCAGGTAGCTTACATGAGAAATATTCATTCCGAATTAGGGTTTACACGGCAGATCAGTTTAAACGCCTTTTAATCGCCTTTATTCAGGTCTGCGCAAGGTTTGGGGCAGGGAGGGTTTCTCATTGGATAGGGGGCGGGGCGGATGTTACGTGTTTATGTTTACCAAAAGAAAACACTGTAGTCCTCGCTCCGGATAACAAGATGCTTAAAGAAGCAGTTCTTAGTGCCTTTTTCAGGCTTGTTTTGCTTATATTCTTGAAGCAGCAGTAAGACAACAACCTTGTTCTGCTAATGCTTCGTCTGTTGAGGAGGAGAAGGGAGGTAGAAGGTCAAAGAAGGGAGATAGAAGACTGTGCTTTGGCGAATGAAAACCGGTCAGTGCAACGAATCCGACTGCTCTATCTCAGCCCGTTGCTATGCATGCTATATATGGCATCGCGCCAGAAGGGCAAGGAAACGAGCATGTGCAGCAAGACTGGAATGAACTTAAAGAGGAATGTGTGAATACAAGTGCGAGACATTCTTTCATTCGGTATTAGAAACGGAATATTCCAGCCCCTTACATCGGATTGAATTTTCAATCGCATTGGCCATTTTCATTCTGAATTAGGTGTTTACAAGATAACTTTTAATAGGAATGAACTTTCATTCCAAATAAAAAGGGAAATAAACTGCCCATGTAAACACACTCACTGACTGCTTACATACTGTATACAGAGATTTTACTTAAAGTTTTTTTGTGATTTTCAATTCAAAACCTTGGTGGAGCAGGCCTCATTTCAGTCACTCCACAGCCTCTCTACAGTATGTTGGTCTCACAGGATCCAGGCTGCAGAATCTGAAGACTCACAATTAGTTTAACTGCTTTTCTAAACCAGGAATAAAACAAGGCATAGATCAAAGGATTAAAACATGAGTTCAAAAAGAACAGATAAAACACAAATGATGCAGATGAAGTACTGACCAAGGCATCACCTGCAAGAGCGACACCGTAAAATGGGCAGAAACATATTAGAAACACAACTACAAGAACACCAAGAGTCCTGGCTGCTTTCAGCTCAGATTTCTTTGTTTGTTGATTCACTGAAAGCTGGAGAGTGACAGCTGTGATGTGAGAGCGCATGGCACGAGCCTGAGACACAGCCACAACAAATACTCTCATGTACAGAACGACAATGACAGAAATGGGAACAATAAAGGTTACAACAAGGTCAACAGCTCCTGCAGTGTGGTTAATGACAATCACACACTCTCCATGGCAGGAATTATACCTGCCTGGTTGAGTCAGGTCATCCTTTAACAAGAGACTGCAGTAAGAAACAGCACAGAGCCAACACAGACACACACACAGTTTAACTCTTTTCACAGTGACTCTGGTGGTGTAATGCAGAGGGTCACAAATAGCCACATAGCGGTCGACTGATATGAGCACCATGTCTCCTATCGAAGAAGATGTAATGATGAAGGACACATAATTATAGAGCAAACACATGAGGTCACCAAGAAACCAGCAGGCTGTTTTTAGCAGGATTTCTCCCGGTATCACCAGGAGGCCCACGAGAAAGTCTGAGAGAGCCAGAGAGAGGAGGAGGATGTTGGTGGGTGTGTGGAGCTGCCTGGAGAGAAAGAGGAAAAACTCATAAACCCAACAAGTCCTCAGATCTAACTGACTAAAACAGTTGTAAAAAAAAAACATAATGAAATGTTTTCTGATCGGCAACATCTGCAGTTTCAATATGGTTAAATGTGGACATCTAACTGCAATATCTGGTGTCGAAATCACAGTTAAGTTTGTGCAAAAGGGCAGAATACAAGTCAAATGTGTCTTAAATACATTTCCAAGGTGCAACATTATTCAGTACCAACTCAAAGACAGTTCTTCTAATCTACAGAAGCTGTTCACATTTTTAAGTTAATCTTTGCCTGAAGTGGGAGACTGAGATGATGACAAGGAGGTTAAGAGCCACAGTGAGCAGAGAGATAAAGTACAGCACAATGTTAAGGAGCACAAAGTTGGCCCAAGGAGAGGTGGGCTTTCTGCAGGAGGTGTTGAGCAGTTGTGGAAAGCAGAGCTCCTCCATCTTCAGAGAGCTGCAGCTCTGGCAGCTTCCTGAACAAATCTGAGTCATATAACCAAATGACTTCTTACGTTTTCAAAATTCCTCTCCACCTTTTTCTCTCGGTCTCTGTTGGACTCAGATGCCCCGCCTCCCTCACTCTGCACATCATCTTCATCACTTTTGCTGGAACCCAGTGTTTCTGCTCTATGTCAGTCTCCATCCTTGTTTTCTTTACCTTGTCTTACCTCTTTGCCCTGTTTTAAGTCACCTAAGCAGACCATCAACAGGAAGTTATGGAACAGCCCTTACTGATTTCAAAGAGGCCACACAGCACAGGTGCCAGTGCAGAGGGCTCAAGGAAAAATATTAATATTGTTGTCCAGCAAAAGAGACGAGCCTAGCTCAACTTTTGTGGCGACACAATGCGGAAGCGCACATTCCTGATGGACTGCACTGAAATGTGATGAACTCATTAATAATATGGTAAACTGTTAATGTGCTACCTGTGATTTTATAGAAGACTTTAGAGCCCACGTGAAGAAATGGACCAGAGTTCTGAGAGAGTAACATAAAATGACAGAATATACTTGCTCAGATTTTCTGCATCACTGATAGTTACAGTGGAGAAAAAAAAGCCATGGTATATACAGTAAGCGTTACTGTTATTGCACAGCTCCATTCGGTGGCATTACTAATATAACATTAACATTACAGCTGTCAAATTTGCAATTATTACATGTTCCCTCAGCTAAGGATCTGTACCGCTCATAGATTGACTAATGACCACAGAGTGATGCTGTTTCTATGTTGAAACTCTGAACATCAACTGTTCCCAACCAGGCTAGCTGCATAGCGTAAATACAGTGATGTAGTCAGCTTCAAAGAGAGCCACTTTTGTGACATGTAAAACTTTTTAGACTCTTTAGACTTGACATATCTCGCCAACCCACTAATCTGGCTATGCAGTACAGCCCTCTGTTAGCTTTTGGGAATGCGTGTTTGTTCAGTGTTTGTGCACTTTAATACACAGATGTTTTAAAATGTTCCTTCTTTTGTAATGAAAATATTTTACCAAAGTTACCAGGGAGAAAAATGCTCCCTCAGTCCCCAGCAGGAGGATTGTCTGTCTTTGACACTTGCACAACTTTACAAAGCCTACCTACATATAAGTAGGATGCTAAATCGGTGTGTTAAAATGAATATTTTGTCTTTAATGATATAAACTTATTCATGATAACCGGCTGCACATGATATACTAGCAACACTTTGCTGCTGTAGCTGTTTTTGTGTTTTCCCAGTCTCATCTGACCTCATCACAAGCCATTCCTTCACTCACCTCACCATCTGGATGTGACAGCTGCCTCCGCCTGACACAGAAAATCTACGAACCGGAAGGGAGGATTTCCATCTTGTACCAGTTCAAAGAGAACAGAACAGATCCTGGACCCTGGATGTCAACTCTGCCTGGCCTGTAGACCCCTGGGCCCCACTGGGAGCTAAGCCCAAGGCAACGGTTAGCTCCACTCTGAGTGACAAGGAGCCTTGGATTGCTGCCTGTAAGAGTAGGCATGGTGGAATGCTCCCCGTTCATCCCCATCAACCACAGATTCTCCAGCTGACCAACAAGTACTCCATTCTGGACGGGCAAAATTTTCCAGTGCTTGCTGGTCAACGCATTACATCACCAGAGTCTGATGGCCCTTTCTCGCCGCCCCCTCTATCCATGGCCGTGTCCAGGCGGTCCGTTTTTCCTGTTGATCACTGCTCTCAACGTCATGCCCCCTCTTCACGACCTGGCTGTGTGCAGGTCACCCCTTGCCCAGTAACCTGCTCTCCAGCAAGGTGCTGCTCTGCTGGGAAAGACGCCGCTCAGTTGCTGCAATGGTCCCCGGCTACGTCCATCCATCCCCGGCCGGTGAACGGGGTGCACACTGAGGACTCTGAGCAGAGCAGAGCCGAGCCTAAATCACTTCGGCCACTTATTCCCCCTACCACACTGATTGTTGGCGATTCCATAATCAGGAATGTGCGCTTCCACAATGCGGTTACTCACTGTTTCCCCAGTGCCACAGTCCGTGACTTCCACAAAAAGCTCCAAGGTTCACTCCCGTCATCCATTAGAAGAGTTATAGTCCATGTGGGAACCAATGACAAGGCTTTTCAACAGTCCGAGCTGACCAAATCTGATTTTAAACATCACTTTTTTTAATAAAGCAATATGGAAAGTCAGTGTTTATCTCAGGTCCCATTCCAACATTAGGTCGCGGTTCTGGTCAGTTTACTAGAATCCTTAGTCTTCAAACCTGGTTGCTGTCCGCATGTAGAGCACACAATATGGAGTTCATTGACAATTTCGACCTGTTCTGGAACCGCCTGTCTCTTTTCCAAAGAGACGGAATTCACCCAAACATACTTGGCTCATGAATGCTAGCCGCTAACAAACAGCACGCTGTTCAATCATCTCCACGTGACTGACTGTTTACTCACCACACCCCCTCCTCTGAGCCTCACTCTCCGTTAAGGACATGTCAGTTTCATCTAGGGCTACTGTTTCCAGCGCTAGCCCCCACTGCTGGCTTCCTTCAGCACCTCCTTCACCTTTTCATCTCCCTATTCAGGCCCTCCCATCCTCGCCACACTTTTAAAGGTGTTTATAAACTCAATCTTCTTTACATAAAATGCACAGCTGTCCCACCTCCTGTCGCTATGTGTAATTTGGCCCTTTTAAATGTGAGGTCTCTGTCAAACAAGATGTTCATCCTAAATGAATTTATTTCCTCCAACCTTATAGATTTCACATTTCTCACAGAAATCTTCTCACTGATAGTCCCCCCAACTATGACTCTTTCAGCTCACCAAGACTAAGTGGTCGGGAAGAGGTATTGCGGTTATTTTCAGAAATTGTCACCAGTGCACACCCATTTTGTTTCATGGGGGCCTCTCTCTCTGCCCGTATCACTTGTGGTGTACCTCAAGGTTCCATCTCAGGGCCCATTTTATTTGCACTGAACATGCTTTCATTAGGCTCCATTTTCCGCCAGCACAAAGTCTCTTTTCACTGTTATGCCGACGACACACACATTTATCTTTTGTTAAATCCAGGGGATTCCAGCTCCATGACATCCATCCTGAACTGCCTCCACGATGTGAAATCCTGGATGGCAACAAACTGTCCTCAGTTAAACAATAACAAAAAAGAGGTTATTGTTTTTGGTCCCCCCAACAACACAGCCAGCATAGTCAGTCACTTAGGACCACTCATACCATATGTTCATAGCCATGCCAGGAATCTTGGTGTTATTTTTGACTCTGCCTTTAAAGTTGACAAACAAATCAACACATCAACGTGATGAAGGGCTGTTGTTTTCAACTACGAAACATCGCAAAACTCAAGTCCATCATCCACATAATGACCTCAAGACTGTTACCACTGCATTCACCTCCTCAAGGCTGGACTATTGGGTGTCTGCCTATCATCTTTGTCTTGTTTGCAGCTAGTGCAGAATGCTGCAGCAAGATTTCTCACTGGTGCCAGAAAAAGAGACACCATTACACCAGTGCTAGCATCCCTGCACTGGCTTCCCATCAAATGCAAGATTGATTTTAAGGTTCTTTTATCTGTTTTTAAAGCCATACATGGGCTGGCACCTCAGTATATCGCTGAACTCCTCTGCCCCTACTCCAACTCCCAACCTCTTAGATCCTCTGAACATTGTCTTTTAACCTTTCCTGCACGAGGCTGGTGGGTAAACGAAATCGTGCCTTTGCAGTCGCTGCTCCACAGCCTTGGAATAGCCTTCTCCTCTTAATCAAATGCTTAATTGACACTTTTGAGACAAATCTTAAAACGTACATGTAATGTTGTCAATGGCCTTTGGTTGTCTGTAGTGATTTTGATATTTTAGCTTTTCATCTTATCTTGTCATGTTTTTAATTGTTCTTACCATTTTTATACTGTTTTATATTTGTGTATATTTTATATTGCTATATATTTGGGTGCCATTCTTTTATCTTGTACAGCACTTTGGTCAGCTGCGGTTGTTTTAAATGTGTTACATGAATAAACTTGATTGATTCAGTGATTTAAGCAAGTAATAGCCTGGGCTATTAATTAAAACTTTTACGGTATACTTATATATCAACTCAAGAACCAACACTGTGAAAAGAATTGGTCCACCCAGCATCACTAATAACCTTCTCTGTCAGCTGTGTGGTGGTGGGAAGCAGCAAACTGTTTGGTACAGTGAATTTTTTACAGTTTTTTAGTAAAATGACACTGGGTAAGTTTATGTGCATGCTAACATTCCACTATTTTTCCAAATATGACAAAATTCACTTGAGGTTAACACGGCCAAGTAAATGGCGTATTCCCTTCGGATTTTCCAAATTGGGCCTTTTCCTAAATTCAGCATTTTCTGGTTAAGACGTGAGATATGCTGGGAAGTTTCAGGAGCATTCTTTGGACATGAATACAGCACATTTGTCTCTACTGGGGTTTTTACATTTGTGAAACACGGCTTCTTATCTGTTTATGGTCGTTTGTGTGTTGTCATGGGTATGCTGGATGCAAACCACCTTGCCAACACTGTTTCATATTGGGGTAGAGATACATGCTGAAAAGAAAAGCCAACATTTCTGGTCAGAACATTTTAAAAGACTTGGGTATCAACAGATGTTTGAATATGTGCAAATATCGCAGCACCATCCTTTTCAACAAGGCGGAATGAAGGAGGGAGACTGTGTTCACGCGGTACTGTGAACACTGTCTTTTCTTGAATAAGGGTCAAAAATCTCAGTGTTTTGTGCATGTAAACGTACTCAGTGATGAGAGCTGTGAGACTGAACGGTAAAGTTGTGGGCCTTCAAACCAAGACAGACGCTCTATAGAGTTGAGAGGAGCTGCAGAGTCGGGGGATAATTCACTCTAATTCATTTGTGACTGACAAAGACCCCTCTCACATTACACATGGTAATTTAATCCATAGTTATTGTAAAGGAATATTGATTTTTTTTTTTGTTTGTTGTCCAGAGTCTAATATTTAATCAAAGTCACGACTGA